TGATCAATATTTTTTTCCATTGTTTTTTTCGCAACGCACTACTGAGGTGAACTGGTTTCAACAGCTGCCGTAAACGAACTGTCTGACAGATCGCGCTCATTTTTGGCATAGTAATTAAGGATAGTGCTGCCAAACTACATAAACTTAAAATATCGAAAAATATACAGCGCGCGAATTTTAAATGAGAATTTCCGAAAACTTTTCGGTCACAATGTATATGTATATATCCGTGAAGTATATGAAATTATGTCCTATTTTAAAAATATTTTAAACAATTTGTTCTGCTATTGCAGGATGTGGGTGATTATGTGCATTTTGTTGCTTAAAGGACTACGCGTGCTGCATATGTGGCGCATTAAGATACTGCAACATGTGGCAACTGTGCAGCTTATAATGCAAAAATGTGTTCGCAGCTCTTTGGTTCTAGAACAACTGAAAGTGTTCCAAAGTTGTAAATATTTTCTGTCCGCAGGATAAAGTTTGTCTTCGGCTAAAAGAAAACTTTGTATTCTTTTATTCTGTTCTTTTTTAGTTGCTGCAACGAAAAGCTGTGATCCCAGAAAGGATTTTCTCTGTATTTATTCAAAGAGGATATAATTTCTGCAATTGACATTAATTGAAGGCATTGATTTTATGGTTCTAATTAAAGATTCCAATAGTGTCTTACTACAGTAATTGCATCAGTGAATTGTGATAAAATAGGAAACACAATGACAAACTTAAAGGATTAAATAGACTAACATTGTTGAACTAATATTTTGGAATAAAAGGATCACATTGTGTTTAGAATTACTGCTGCAGGTATTAGAAGGAACATATATAAGGCTGAATGTGAATGCAATTTATTGAATGTGAATTAATCAATTAGGATAAATTAGTTTAACAAGATTTTCATAATTTTTGATGTTAATATATAATCATGTATATAAATTATGCAACAAATAATGCCTCTACAAACAGAATAGAAATAGAATGGATATTAAAAATATTAGTATTAAAATTAATATATGATTAATTAATTCAATTAATCTACAGCTGGTGTATGATTTCGTGCTAATATATACACAGCAAATTAATTTGTTAATTAAACTTTCACAGCAAATTAACAAAACTTCAGAAAAATGTGCGAACATAAAAGTCAAGTACGGCTTTGGGTCAGTTGGTGAAGGAACGCTAACTCTGAGCTTCAAATTTGGCAGGGCACGAGTTCGATTTCTGTTACTTGCAGTCTCAAAAATTATTTATGAATTATTAAAAACAAGAATTATTTCCAAGACGATGATGATGATGTGTATTTGGCAATACTCGAAACAGCTGTATGGTCAACCAAAAATATATTTAATTAAAATAATATAAAAAAAATTATTTTTGTTGTTGTAGTTTACTACTTTTCGAAAACTCTTTATAATTTTTTTTTAAACAATTAAAATAAAAGAAAATTTGAGAAAAACATAAATTTAATAATAAAAGTCAAGTTAAGATAATAGATATAGTTTTATTAAAATTAAATACATGATTTAAAAACTAGGAGAAAGGAGCATATTTATGTCATATAGCCTTTTATTAGTCTTTAAGATTCTAAAACTTGTTGTTAGGCTTTAGTTTAAAGCGATTCAATAAAGACATATTGTTAGATACAAAAAAAAAATATAGCCTTTTGAGAGAAAGGATCACTAGTATTTGTGAATGCATAGAGCTTTAGTGAAGTATGCAGAAGATTGAGTAGGGAAATCTTCACGTTTTTAATAAGCGGACGTAATTCTGTAGGACAACATACGAAAATTGAATGCGAAGATTTAAAAGCTTTACGAATAAATAACAGTTATAGTTCATTGCAAGACTTTGATGTAGGATTTTTATGGTAAGATGTTATGAACGATGGTATCTTTCATATTGACAAAAGAAACTTTACCAGTTAAACGATGGTTATAGTCAATGGCAACACCTTCACGTAAAATCCCAATTGTGTAATATTATGAATAATAACGCCTCCTATATTGACAAACCAACAAAAATTAATATATTGGAGAAATGTTCACCATGGCATTGGTCACTGTAGGTCAGTCATAATATTAAAAAATATATGCGTAGCTAAATTAACTAGATCAAGATTAAGCTGATAATTAAATTAAGTAACATTTACTGAACAATATGTAAGACAAATAAATGAGTGAGTTTTTCGTGAAGTTTCGAGTCACACATAACCCATTTTAATTGTGCCCCAATTAGTCCTTTAATCTTATATTGTGTTCTCCAGTCATTATAGTATATTTGAGATAATTCATAAGCAACACGCTTTAGCAATCGTAAAAAACAGCGATCATAATCTTAGCACTTAACATCTGCCACAAACCTTTATAACATTTATTAATCCAATATTTTGTTTATTCTATGATCCCCGGAATAAAACGATGGACTCAAATTTAATCAAAAATTTCTTGTCGGTGCTCAATTATTTTTTTGCAGCGCACAATTGTATCAGATTTTTAATTAAGTCGGAAATGTAAACAAAATAAATATTGACCCAAGAGTGGTTAATGGTTGTAGTCTGTGGTAGTAATTTGAGAGAAAAAGGTATGTATATAAGCTCTGTTAATAAATTAGAAAAGTCGAGCTTAACACTGACTCAAATGATTACTAGAATCTCTGCAATTATTCCAGTGTAATACAACAACAACGTGTCCTGCGGAAAATTGGCTTCACTCGCAGTGAATCTGTGGACACAAAGCTGTGAGGCCTAAATTGAGCTGTGAGACCTATATTGAATTGTGAGTGAATTGAACATGCATCCAATACGCATTAAAACTATCTAACAATATATAATATATAACAAATTAACACGTTTCCTAACACAAACTAATTTAAAATTTTATATATGCAATAAAGAACTAAAGACTACAATGTGGAAAATTAAAGTTACTGCATAAAGTTCAGGCAGACAAAGGCACCGGCAGGACACGAAATAATTTATATCTTCCATGAGTAGAAAATTCACTCACAACTTGTTAAGCACATAATGTAACCACAATTAAATATTTTGGTTCTCGCCGAAATTCCCCGCACATCGATCAGGCAACATTTGTGCGAAAGTGGTTAATCCGACAGTGCGTAGATTGGCTGACTGACGCTGCTGCGATAAGAATGATAAGGATTTTGTTTTAATGCGATAATTGCGACCAACATTTTATACGATGGAATGTTGTGTTGGCAGCGGAAGTGAGCGGGCGCAGCTACAAAGCGCAAAATAAGACAAAAATCCGCACTTGTCACTTATCAAGGCGCTATGATGAATGAGATTTTTGCTGCGTTGGTTTGCCGCTTAAGTTAAGCAATAAAACCGTTCTTCCTTTGCTTGAAGCTCAACTTTTTGTGCTGTCAATGGTTAGGTTTTATCTGCCTTTGCAAATGTATTTTGTCTATTTTCTTTATTACACCCGCCACTGTGCGGGAACCCACAGCCTATGGCATTGAATTGCGGATAGCCAACTACAACAGCATTTTGAACTATTCGTCTATATAATATTTCTGCTATTGATGTTGCCACAATTACTGATACTGGTCGATGGTACTGCTGACATTGGTAGTGCTCTAATGCTTAGTTGTGGGCATTTGTCTGAACGTGAACCTTAACTATAATACCACATGCTCCAAACAGCTGTTGTTGCCTAGCACGTTTGTCCGCTTAATATTGCGGTCTGCAGTGCCCCGCCCAGCTTACTTAGTCGATTGGTCTTAGGTAGGTATTATTGTATACTATATAAGGAAAAACGTAGTTGGATGTGGAAGTTCAGAAAAAAAACTGTAGCATAGAAAACTGAAGCTAATTTTTACGGTATTTATGCTACTCATATAATCGCAAAGTTGTTCATTTTTGCTTTTAATAAAATAATCCATCTCTTGTCCTGTAATCTGACAATAGCTCATATTTATATCGCACAATAATTTACACCTTTCACAGCAAGAGATATTTCTCTTAGTGCGTAATAACTGATAAATAATACAAATAAATTACACGTAAAAATAAAAATAAATAAATAAAAACTATACGAAACAGAGAAAAATCAAATTTGACTTCATTGAAGCTTTAATACCCTACACACAATTTAATTATATTAAATTCATTTCTATAAATTTTACTTGTCAGTATCGTAAGTTTGTGTCAGTGGCGCAGCCAGGATTGTGCTAAGAAAAGAGGGAAATATATGGAATATACTAGAAAACTTTATAATCAAACTTCAATAAATTAATTATAATAAAATTTAATTTCAGTTTAATTTATATTCATATCCATTTGTATAAAAATACGTATAAATAGGGAGATATCCCTATTGATCTTATTTTTAAAATCCTTGATAACTATAAATATAAAATTATTTTATTTTATTTTATAAATAATAATATAAATTTCATATAAATAAAAAAAGAACAAACCGCAATTTGTAAAGTTTATAAAAAGCCTAAATAAAAATATAAATATAAAGGATTAAGAATCAAGGCTATACGCTATTGATCTATTCAGGTCGGAGTGCTTTCTGACTTTTAATAATAATAGCAATCATTCTTTTTCCATCGTAATCGAGTTTCTTCTGTGTTCTAAAGATTTCATTATCAATATGAAAATGATATGACAACTATGCAAAAACCAAAATCAATAGGATGAAGTTTTAGTTAATTAAAGTAATTTAGTTAAAAATTATATTAAAATACGAACCATCACTTAATTGTTCTAAATAAAATTCCCTTAGCATTCGTCGATATGTGTGTTAATAGAATCTTTTTCCAAACGAAAAGTACGATTCTCGTACTAGATCTTCATCAGTTTTGATGGATTTTATAAAAAAAACTGCTCTCCGATTATATCACTTTTATAATCACACTATATAGTTGCTGATATTATTAATAAAATATGATAATATCTTAGTAAGCACAGAATTTTAATTTACATAATAAATAAAAATTATTAAAAAATCATATATTTTTTTAATTTCCTTTAGATCAGTTACCAATTCGGTCCGTATTAAACAAAAAACATTCAAAAAATGGCTCAAATAATTAAGTCTTTAATAGCATTAATACTCGCGGTCACAATAGTAATGTTGTGGTTCTTTACTGAGTCATTTTTTGAATATAATGAATTCAAAACGTTGTTCTATAACGCCTATACGTTTAAAATTATTCTGGGTTCTCTGGTATTATATACCATTAGTTACATGTTGGTAACATTAATTTATGATGTGGTGTTCTCCGAGGTAAGTAAAACAAATAGTTTTTAAGGAAATAATATACTAATATAATTTTTATTAAGGATGATGAAGATGATTCAGATGGTCCACGTGAAGTCCGGGTCGGATTTCCAGAACACTTCTTTGATGGATTCGTAGAGAGAACCAGTAGGTAATTATATGAACATTTAAAGCAAAAATCAGCACCTACTCTAACGCTTATTTTAGAATCTTCAGGTCGCTAAGCCCCACACGAATATTTGGAATCGCTTGACTATAGGCGTAAATAAGAATACGGCTGAAACAAAATTAACAAGTTGTGTACAATAATCGGCGTATATTTTTTGATTTAATTTCCATATCTCCATTAATGTTTTCAAAAAAACCAACCGATTATGATTATATTATAACTGACTACTTATGTTAATCCGAAATACATATAACATATTCATCGAAATTACAACGTTTCATAATAAAAATACATTCAATTAACAAATTTGTTTTTCATAATTTTTTTTTGTAATATTTGAAGATGTGATTTATGTCAAATTTTAATATTAAAATTCATAAAATATTCAAAAATATTTGGATGGAAAATCATAAAATATTCAAAAATATTTGGATGTGCTTTAAAAATTAACATTTGATGGTATTTTTATTATATACTGCCCAATGAATGTAAGTCTAGCTCACAGGGTTTGTACCAACTTATGCATTTTTCAGGATTCCTCTTATCATTTGTATTCACAATCTGTCATTTATAGACCATCGATGACTCAGGTTTGTATGATTTATGCTATTAAAGCATAATTTTGAAGCCTGCACAATTCAATTTGAACAGTTCGATACCAGTTGACTAGCTGTACAGGGGAATATAGTTTATAAACAAGGGTATAGACATTTCTTCATATAGTATCTATATATATAATATATCTTAAATAAAGTATATATTTTATATATAATAATATACAAGTAATATATTTTATCGCTTTTCCTTCTCTTTCATATTGACAGTCATATGACGAATGGTCACGGAAATTTTATAGCCGTTTTTATCACGATCAAAAGGGATTTTGTACAGAGTGTCATTTCACAATTATTAAATTCTTACTCTTAGTACTATTTTAGTATATTTTTTCTTTTTGTGTCTAAATTTAAAAGGTAATTATTTTTATACATAATACACATATTATTTTTAAGCTTACATAGCCACAAAAAATGTATATACTCGTAATAGACGCAAATACTGACATTTATTATTCGGCAAGATTGTTTTGACCAATGTGACGAGACACAGTAAGTCTCGTGACCAAATTTTGAACGAAATATCTTTTCTCAATTTTTTAATTTAAATTAAATAAGAATAGTTTTACATTTAATATGTCTCTAAGAAAGTTTTAAGCGGAGAATACTGGTTTTAAAGACTATTTAAAGCACACATCAGTTAAATTGTTTAATCAACATTTAAAGCGTTATAATTATATAGTCTTTATATCAATTATTCAAACCAAATTTCATTGAAATAAGGAAAATAAAAGCATATTGCGAATGTTAATGCATAAGTTCCAGTCACCACGTAAGAGCCATACTCATTCTGAAACTTACAAGTAGTCAAAATCAAATCAAAGTTTTGCAATAATTGTGAGTTACTTCTGTCATTATTTTCGACAAAGGAAATAATTTGTCTGCGATTACTTGTATATGCATTCATCAAGGATTGGGAATGTTTCCGTGGCCTAACAAAGACTACCGTACAACTGTTAAAAGTCAAACTGGCAGACAGTTCGGTTTTTCGTCAGGTGGCACGCAACGTTGCAAGTACAACAAGCATATATGCACTTTGATGGTGCAACAAAACAAACAACGTCAACGGAATTGGACAAAAGTTTGAAAAAAACTACAACAAAAACAACAAAATTTTGAAGAGTAAAACTTAGTCTAGAACTGCTAAGCCGGAAATGTCATTCACAAATGCCTGTTGCGATTTTGTATAAACTTTTCATCCTTTTTTTTTGGCTTTTTCCGTTTACAAATCCTTTTGTTAGGAGAGCTACCGAAATGATGTTGACTACTTAAGCACTAAATAGAATTTAGTAAGAAAATTATGTAAATATTGGTTGGATCATCCATTAACGTCGAAAAATTCTTGACAATATAGCTCTAACTCTAATATCATGACATCACATTTTTTTATATCCTCAAGTATATGTTTAACTGCTCATAATCTGTAATTGAGGTACGGCAATTAACACGTTCTATAAAGCTAATATATGAGTAAAATATAGTTAATATATATATATATATATATATAGTTGATCAGTATCAGTTACATATTCTGTAATATAATTTATTACAACAACTGTGTGAGTTAATATTAATTTATATTAGATAATTACGAAAAAAATATAATATACAATGACATTATCATCATCACAACATTATCTTCGCTATGATCTGGTATAAACTTATTCGGTTCTTATTATATTATTAACGTTTATTTTTTAATAAAATTATAATAGAACAATTAACATAGCCAAAAAATTTCCTAGACAGATATTTTATATCCTTACTATCCACTATGTCAACCATACATTATTGTTCTTTGTATTATGTGTAGAATTAAAGAGAATTAGGCATGAGAAGCCAATAAATGAGTAAATGAGTGTATGCTTGCTACAAAAAGGAGATATGTATTGAATTTAAAGCATGTTATATCAACACAAAAAAGCAAATTTAAAGATTTTTAATTTTACTCATATTTAAATTATATACTGCAATTTTATTATAAAATAATTTAAGAAACCAACTACTTATGATAGCTCGAAGTAATGCTTAAACAACCTTACTCAAACAAACTAGTAAAATTGAATTTTTAAGACCTTTGGAAGCCTCATTTCTAATGCATCATTCATATTATCATTATGTACCTATCTACTGTCGACTTATTATCCAATCTATGTTAAAAATATTTCAAACTTTTGATGCTTAACTTATTACAGTAGATGGGTACTTATTATTATTATTTATTATTTATTATTATTATTAATCTGTCAGCTAACACCACATTTTTATTAAGTAATATTTGAGAAATCATTATTCAAAAAGCTTCGTTCCAGTAGAATTTATAAATAATTTTTTTATGTGTTCTCTCAAAATTATTTGACCCTGCGTGGATACTGCTTCGAAATTGAATTAACTTTATGTCATAATCATATATCTCATGCCATGTCATCTCACATCTCATAAATGATGAAAAAAAGCATGAAAAGCAACAGAAAAGAGACCCTTCTCGAAGTAATACGAAAGCGGTTTCGAAGGGAAATAAGTTTCGCCGAAGAAAGGATGCTTTAGTCCATGTACCGACGACGGTCGATCTGACGGTACGAAACATATACCACCTCCTCACCACAAACACAAAAAAGAAAATGTCAGCTGATGTCAGATAATTACAGTGCTATATGAATCTGGATCAAGATATGAAAACTTCTCATGAAAAATTATTCATATCTTAGTGATTTCAAAAACACTCTTTGTCACATTCTCGTGTTATGCCACCTTATGTCAGATAGAGCTCATGAATACAGAGCGAGAAGTTTCTATTTACGCCTGGTATTAGTAACTTCTCCATGTGACATATTCATGTTTAGTTGGCTTCTTATTGGTTAGAATCGGTAACTAAAATAAATAAATCTAGTTTGATCTATTCCGACAGGTGTTCGGAATAGTGATTATTTCAACATTATTCTTTTTAAACTACTTGTTTATACACAGGGTGCTTTATCACGAGACTTTGTGGCTTCATTTTTTGTTTGAATATTTTTTTTTTGTAAATATTGTTTTATTTGGAATAAAAAAGTCTTGGATGCAATCTGTCAGATACTGATTCAGCGTATAAAATACACGGTGCTGTCTATCTGATAGCATGGTTCGCCATACTTTTTCTAGCACAAAAATTGATATACTTTGATCTCTTCGCTCTGATCTGAACGACGGGAACTTATCAGAATGTAACCACATATGGCGTCTGGTAAAGAAGCATGAGCAAGGAATTATTATTTAATATGAGGTGTATACGCTTTAGACGGCTTTCGATTTTAATGAGACTATGATGCATATCGTATTTTCAAGGAAATCTATAAGTAAAATAAAGCAAGTATTTAATATACTTATTGATTTTATTAATGGAGTTATAGCATGGCTTCCTTAATATTGTCAGTAAGCAGTGGTTGATAATTTTTTGTAGAAAAATGTCAGGTTATTGATTTATGCAGACTAATCAACAACGATTCCAACTTTGAAAGCAAATATAAGGAGAGAGTGATTTCAAGTACTTGAAAATGTTGTGGAAAGTTGGGGCTCTAAAATTCTGTTAATACGATTTCGTAACACCTCATTGACCGACATCATTCTTCATTACATATGCAATAAGACTATATATCGAATAAAATAATTTATTCAACACTTTTGCTAAAATTTTTGATATTTTTTTAATTTAAAATTTCACATCTTTTAAAGAAAAACACCCTATATTTAAATAATATAAACAATTTCGTTTTATTTTAATTGAAAATATATTTCACTATTAAATAAGGTTAAGAAGAATTCAATGAAAGCAAATAAATGTCAGTGTCATGGCTTTTCAAAAGGTCGTCAAAGATCAGTTAAAATTTTTTACTCTATAGTATTTAACTATCCCTTTTGTAATATAGATTTTTTATAGAATTTTCCCCTATTTTTGCAAACTTTTTTTGGTTTTCCAAAATTATTCAAAGTGAACGAAACGGAAATGCGTGTATTAAGAAAAGCAACAAATTTTAAAACAAAAGTTTTAAGTCAACTGTAAACTTGCAAAAATAAAAAAATGCTACAATGAATCACAAAAAAAATAAAATAAAAGAGAAATGGACGCTGTTAGAGGTTCAACAGCAGTTGTCGCAGTAAAATAGAGCCAGTACGGTACTTCGCTAGACGTCGACTGTGTGAAAGTTTATATACTGAACCGGCATGTGCAGTTAGTCTGCGGAATTGGGTTTTTTTTTTTTGATATTTTTATATACATATTTGATACATATATATATATGTATACATATATATACATATAGAGATAAATTTTTTTTTGTATATCCGGAAGTTTGCGGTGGGAAATTTTATTTTTACTGACACTTGACTTGGTGCGTACTAAATTCAGTTAACATAGTCGACCTGCCTCACGGTCTGTCTACTTCAATTTGTTCTCGTATAAATAATGAACACAACATGGTTTCTCTACATGGTATATGTCTCTTCTTGTCCTTTTATGGTTACGCTATTGGTTGTATTGTTTACTCGAATTAGTCGAGACAGTCGAGATAGTCGAGACAGTCAGTCCGTTCTACGATGAAGTGAAGTTGCTTTACTAACTTTTACTTAAAGGAAGCAAAGTGAAGCATTAATGTTGTCTTTTCCGTTTTTTTTT